CCAGTACTTGGGGTGGTTTCCGGGGAGCAGAGCTTTCAATTTGCGTTATTTCATCACAGCACTGCCTCCACTGACCTGAAGGGAGAGCACTGATGGGGGTGAGTAGGGGAGGACTGTGATGAATTCTAACAGATAACCTAGGACGAACAGTATGGAAGCTGCAGAGATGTATTTCAACAAAACGAAAAAGCTCCTTACTGAGCGATTCCAAGGTGAAACGGGACGGACGCCTTACATGCATGCAGTAATTTCCCCACTATTAGAAATGTGCAAGTCCAGACCGGCCACTGGGCAAGGCTAGTTTACTCAACTGTCACAGGGGTAACCAGACTAGAATCACAGCATGTTAGATCTGAAAGGAATCTTAGAGATCTTCTAGTCCAGTCTGCTATTTTATAGGCCTGGACAGGGAAGCGATCACTCAGAAGCAGCCCAGTTTGCTGTGGAGAGCAGGGCGCAGAGCACGGTCTCCTTCAATCCAGTGATCCACATCCTTGCTGCTCAAAGTGTGTGTGGTCCACGGACCAGCAGCTTCAGCGTCACCTGGGAGCCAAATCTGTATTTTATTGAACAAGACCCCCGCCACCTCCCCCCGGCATGGTTTTAAGGTAATTGCAGAGGTGCAAAAGTAAAGCAGAACAAGCAAATGCTTCTTCAGCGTCCAGCCTCTACAGGTGTCACATCAGGGGAACTGCACCTCTTCAGAGGAAATGGAACGTCACATGGAAAGGGTGTGGAGAAGGAGTGTCAGAGAATCCACGTGAGAAGGATTGGGACCAAAGATGCCATCAATCTGCTCTGGCCCCCAAGGTCTCTGCTGAAGGGACAGCGTGTGGGCTTTACAAGAACCAGACCTAGAAGCGGCACAACCCACATCCCACTGGCCAGGGCCAGGTCATGATTTACATCAAGCGTCTAATGCCTCCCAAGTTGTGTTCTACCAAAGGCTGGTGGTGCCAGAGGAAGCTGGAATGGGGCTAGGAGGTGGCTCTGGACCCAAGGTGCCTGTGTCTGCCCAGAGTCTCTGGGCCCCACTACGGGGACCCTAACCAGATGCTGTCTCCACAAAGCCCACAACTGCATTTCTAAACAAAGGTCACATTTCATCTCACAGCCCATCTCCCCTGACTGGTGCCTTTAGACTGAGGTTCCCCGCATACCTCGGGAAGACACTGCATAGCTCCCTGCCCCTCTCCAGATGGGAAACAAATGACCCCCTGCTGCTTGCTTTACTATGAGTCAATCAGAAGTTATTTATTTTCTAAAAGTATAAAAACACATACAAAAAGGGACTCACTCTTGGCTAGAATGAGATAATACCATTGTAACGAACATCCCTGTGGGCAAGGCACTGTGGAGAAAGGACTGCTCCCAAACTGTTAGTAATCTTGGTCATCACTATGCCCGGGACTCTAAATTACACATGGACAACAGGCTAAGTTTTATTAAACCAGACTCATAAAAGTAAAGACTGTGCTCCTCCAGGCTGATAAAATATAATTCCAAGGCTCTGAGGAAAATACTCGTATGATGTCAGTCCCAAGGAACTTTTCTCCCCAAGAGTTGATTGGCCACTTTCTGTGGAAGAAAAGAAAGGCAGGAAAGAAGTTAGATACCCCTGCCGTCAGAGGCAGACGGCCACTCCTCACCCCAGACGTGTCGCTGAGGAGACCAGCGTGGTTCTCCCCAAACCTTATTTCTTTTTCCCAGCAACAAAAATGATGGTAATTATACAAAAAATACTTCCTGAAGTGTTTAGGAAAGATGATCTACAGTGTATTATAGTCTGTATAGAAATGTAACAGTAGTTATAAACTTAAGAGACTAATCCATCCATCAGTTCACAAACTCACAAGCACAGTGAGGGCCTGGGCTTGGGCCTCCCCGCCTGAGGGAGCCCAGCCTGGGCTCTGGCATGTGCTCCAGAAGGAGTTCTCCAGCCTCACATCGGCCTGGTATGAGCTCATCTTTTGGTTTCTGACTTTCAGAGTCCTCTGGGGGTGAAGTGGAGGGTTGGGAAGGAAATGAGAACAGTGAAGGATCTGGACCTTTAGGCACAGTAGCCCATCTGCTTTCTTCAGGAATTAATTGGTAGCAAGTCCCCTGGCTTGTGAGGCTCTGGGACTTGCAGCACCACTGGTTCCACGGGGACAATGGGCAGGAAGTGGTAGTGGCTTCCAGGCTCTGACTCCTCAAACTGTCAGCTCTTAGGCCACACTTGGACATTTCCCAATTTATCTGAAAAGTTCTAGCAGTATACGATTTACCTACACTTGGGCCTCTGGAACAAAAGCTCAACAATTCCGATAGATGTAGGCATTTCCAGCATGATGTCTGAACTGACTCCTAAGTATGAAATTTGCTTTCATTCCAAATGTCTGCCTGGAAGGTGCCTTCTTTAGATCTGTCTTTTGAGATTTTTAAATTTGAAATCTAGCTGCAGGTGCTTTAATCTTTTAAATTTCAGCAGTGGTACAGTGTGTCATGAGCTTAAGTTCACTCTGCAAATACGGTTAATGCAAACAGGTCAGATGGATTTTTCTCACTTTCTCTTTCCCCTGACAAACCTCACCAATCCTGCTCTAGGAATGACTGACCTTCTTGTACAGCTGGGCTCGCAGCCGGTATGACTTATATTCCGATCTCCTCTTTTCCTCTTCTCTCTTTTTCTGGACTTCTGGAAGCTGCTCATAAATCCTTAGGAATGGCACCAATGGAAAGACAGAAAGCAGTGAGTTCACCTGACCACACAGGCCCACGATCGCTGCTCACCACATTGCCCTAAGCTCTACTGCCCTCCAGCCACTCAGCCCTCAGGCAGGCCGCGGGCCTGCTGGGTGCCCAGCTTCCTGTTAGGCACTTGGAGCCAGAGAACCCTGGGCTGGAGTGCTCACGATCTGGAGAGGGATACAGGGGAATAAAAACACAATAAAATCCTGCTGATAGTGATTATTCTGGGAAAGGAGTGGGACAAAGGAGTGGAGATAAACTTCTTTCATTCTATATGCAAAGATGTATGGCTACAACATAAGATAATGCCTATGTATTGCTATCATTTTTAAACATGGAAAATAATGTGAAAGAAAAATACAATAATGGTCATATCTACAAAATTCTACATAGAGTTACAGGAAAAGAAAGAACTTATTCTGACTGAAGGATGTCAGGGAAGATTAAGCCTGAGGTGGGTCTTGAAGACTAGTTAGGAGCAGAAACGGGAGTGAGTGAGTGGGGGTGGGGGTGGGAAGAAGTGTTGGCAAGAACAGAGTCGAGGCTTCCAAAGACCCACGGACCACACTTTGAGAATTGCTTGATTAAAGCATCCCTTTGAATTACCTATAAGGAAAGGGTTTACCAAATGGAAAGTAAAAACAAGATTTCAAGAAGAATGCTTTTATTACTAAAGGTAAATTGTTTTCAAGCACTATGTGGGCTATAAAACTGGTCTTATTAAAGGAAGTCTCTAATGAATCCCTAAAAGGTAACCAACCCTTTACTTAGTTACTCAATGGCAGTCTCATGAGCAATGTATACATATCTCTAATTAATTAATAGCCAATGAATGCAATGGCACAAAATTCAAAAAGTATAAGAAGGTAAAAAATTAGTCTCTCTCCTGCCTCTGCTCTCTAGTCACTCAGTTCTTTTTCCCAAAGACAACCACTATCACCAGTTTTTTGGATGTCCTTCCACAGATAGTCTGTGCGTACAAAAGTACACCCATCTATGTAAGCACAAGCACTTCTTTTCAAAAACTACAGACAGTAGCAGCGTACATATGCTTCTGAAATTTGGTTTATTTTTTAAGCCTAACTTACTGTATCTTGGAGACTATCCCCTTATCTATCACTGTATTGGATAAATTTCTAGAAAAAGGACTGCTGAGATAAAGGGTAAGGCCCCAAATAAGTATTTAACTTTATTTCAAAGTAGTTTTTATTTGTATTTAAGTTTCTAACAAAGACAAGAGTAAAGCATGCAAATTAGTGGCAATGCTTTGTATCTTTTGTAAATGAATCATCTATTCCATGATTGCTCTTTTTCATCTCTTTTTCAGAGCCATAAATGAGAAACTACTTTTAAAATTAATTTTCTCATGTTTTAACTACAGCATAATGCCTTTATTCTGAGGCCAAGCCTGAGCTCCTGACCAGTTGGTGGCCTGATTTATCCTTTCATAGTTACTTATTCTTTTGGCCTTACCGTTTAGATCTCTGAATCATTTCCTTCTTTCCAATAGGCCTTTTCTTTTGGGCAGCCAGGAAGCCTAAGCAAGAGAAGAAGCGGTTCTTAGTGGATTGTCTTTTTTTTTTTTAATTGAGGTCTAGTGGATTTACATTAGTTTCAGGTGTACAACATAGTGATTTACAATCTTTAAAATTTATACTCCATTTATAGTTATTATAAAATATTGGCAATATTCCCTGTGCTGTACAACATATCCTTGTAGCTTATTCATTTTATACACAGTCGTTTGTACCTCTCAGTCCCTTATCCCTACCTTGTCTCTCCCCACTGGTAACCACTAGTTTGTTCTCTATATGTGTGAGTCTGTTTCTTTTTTGTTATATTTACTGGTTTTATTTTTTTAGATTCCACATATAAGTGATGTAATACAGCATTTGTCTTTGTCTGTCTGACTTATTTCACTTGGCATAATATCCTCCAGGTTGATGCATGTTGTTGCAAAAGGCAAAATTTCATCCTTTTTTTATGGCTGAGCAGCAGTGGTGTCACCCACACCAGCCCCTAAAAACTGAAGGGCCTATGCCTTGATTTTTCTGTGTTTCCATACCAGTCCCTGTGAGCAGAAGGACACCTGCCCTGATTTATTTTTATGTTTGTTTCAAAGGTACCTGGCATTTGGCAGAGATGTTTTGCAGCTGTACCTTGAGAGATACACAGTGGTCAACTCCCCAGACCAGTTCTGACTTGACCACAAGAACGAGCCTGCACAGATGAGCACAGATGAGACTGGGATGGGCCTGAAAGTTACCTTAGCTTCATTACCATGCTGACAGCTCAGCCCAGAAGGGTGATTTGTACTCTGCAAGGCACAGTCTGTGCCATGTGCAAAGGACCATGGGAGACTGCGCATGCCCTGGCTGCCCCTGAAAACTCCGTCCCTCTCCTCAAGTCCTAATGACCTATCTGCCTCTTAACCCTTAAATTCCCTTACTCCTCTCCCTTCAGGGAGAAAGTATCTTTGAGCATGAGCTCTCCCTTCTGCACTTTTTTTTTTTTTTACTATTTTTATTGATTCATAATCATTTTACAGTGTTGTGTCAAATTCCAGTGTTCAGCATGTTCAGCACAATTTTCAGTCATTCATGGACATATACACACTCATTGTCACATTATTTTTTCTTCTGTTGTATTTATACATTAACTATTTTGTGTTATACTTTCCCGTGTGTACTATAACTAG